TTACGTAGGTCAAACGACAAGGCAGTTATCTCAACGGATCAAAGAACACAATCCACACTGGCTCACACTAGGTGGAATGGGAGTTGTGTCAAGCTCGATCGTCGCTCACCTGGTAGAGACGGGACACTTGATTGACATGCGCTCAGCATTTNATCGAGTCTCACCATACCCCTCGAGAGCAATACGGTTTCGGACGTTAGCAACCGTAGAGGCGATTAGCAGCTGACTCATGAAGCCTGAGTTCTCTTGGGCTCATTGCCAAACACATGACTCATCCACCTTCCTGTTTGACTGCAATGAAATTGTTTCATATAAATGTAATTGAAAAGGAATTCACCGAAACCATGTGTTCGCCCACACCGTGTTCTTATGTATATATATATATATTCAATCTACTGCTATGTCCCAGTTTCGTCGACTGCTCTGGTTCATTAGTTTCGAACAAGAAGCAGGTTAATGGAGCAGGATCGCTTTTGCCTGAACCTATGTTGAGCTGTCGAAGGAATGTTGTATCTTTAGAGGTGTTCCATCACAGAATTCGCCGCAATTGACTCCATGACTTTCGATAACACCCGGAAGCAGGGTTACAGGTCAGTAGTTAGCGGGGTCAACACGAAAACCACCTTTGAATATGAGTGAAATAACTCCTTGTTTCCACGACTGTGTGAGTGTGGCCTGGTTGAAAATTCGTTGGAACAGACTGGGTAGCGGTTCGGACATGTGATTCGCCAGAAAGACCGGAAACTTCGGGTGTATATTGTCCGCACCTGGGGTTGCATTTATATAAGGTAGGCAAATGAAATGAAACATTCAATGTATTTGAATTGATGCAGCCTTTTCATGGTTGAGCCAGTAACTAGATTTGGTTAACGCGTGATAGATAACCCGATATATGCAACGGTCTTACGAATATTGAAAAGGAAGTTTTTGACAGGCATACAGGGTTTGAATGCTTTCCATTGTCAAACCATCTAGTAATAAATTTTGTGGTCAACTGAAATAGCGCACCAACTCATACTTTGGTTGCAAATTTATGCATGAAAATCGATGAAGTTAGTGAGAAATTTTGACTACTTGAAGGAAAACAAGCATATTAGTTTATGTAGTGCTCCGTATTCTACACCATGGTTTACCAGGCGGTGGCAGACGTAAAATCATTGAAAAACGCTAACTGGCGCCGAACAGTAGAATAATCAAGCATCCAATTCACAAGCGATCGAGTGGAAGGTTATGTTGTTGCTGATGTTGTTGTTCTTTTCGTTATCACTGTAGTCATGACAATAACATATGTGTATCGATTGTATTCAAACTATTTTCTCACTAAATAAACAAAAAAGATAATCCGGCGTCCGTTAACAATTAGAGACGGTACGGGATGAATCACAATCACAAAGGCGCCGTTCATAATAGAGGAACTGATTGGAATAACTAAGATTAACCGAGAATGATGCACTCCAATAAGTTGAACTCCACAACGAGGTACAAGTTAGTCGGTCGAAAGTGCTCTTCCGCCACTTGCAAACGAGATGGTAGCGCACAGATGTTAATTTCATTGATTGGAACCGACCATCTTTCAGATTTCACCTTCATCCACTTTCCTCAGCTCTTCAAGTCAATCACAATTCACTCGAATCTGAAGTCATTCTGAGTATGTATGGTTGATTGGAAGAGCTGAGGAATGAATGTGCGTGAAGGTCTGAAGTCTGAATAATGGTCAGTTCCGCGCAATCAATATCAATTACGCGACAACACTACTCACAACTAAGTGTGAGTTAAATGCGAGATATT